TTGAGATGGGGAAGGTCTCACTATGTTGCCCAGACTGGTCTCAAACTCATGGTTCTCCTGCCATCATCTGGATTACAGACGTGTGTCACCATGCCCAGCTAAATATTCATATATTTAAACATGCATATTTAAATGCCAATATGCAGGGAGAGGGAGTATGTATAATTAGAAATCTTCAGACATAAAGATAACCTCAGGATTAGGAACACAGTCATAAGCAATAATATCAGATTCTAAGTACTTATATTTATGGTCATCATTCCATGAGGCAGATGTAAAAAATATTCGTGATATTTCTACTTCCACTTCTTATCTTCCCTGCTGTATCCAGAATCTGAAACTATACTTCTCAAAGACGGACCTAGGGAAAGTAGATTAGAAATAAAAAATAAAAACAGCCAGAAGTTCTTGATGAAGGATGTAACCCTGGCATGGGAGGAGAGCAGACCTGTCCCGCTGGTGTATGACTCTGAATTTTGGAAGCGAGACTTAAGAGAATGCAGGGGTCCAGGAAGGCACCAATCTCAGAGCTCCTGGCCCACATCAGATGCGAAAAGACCCTTGAAGGGAAAAGCATCGATGTAAAAAGAATAGGAAAGAGCCAGGATATAGATGTGCCATGCTTAAGCACTACCCAAGGGAAGGCACAGTTTTAACAGCTTTCTCGCCTGACAGAGATGGTTGTAAAAGGATTCCAGTCTTCATCACAAAAAGAAGCATCATAGAGAGCGAGTGGCATCAGATTTTATAATTGAATAATCTGCCAAATATTAATTAACCTTCTGCCAACATAAAACATGATGCACAGATGGGGTGTTAGGAGCAAGTGAGGACAAAGAGATGTATAAAATACGTTCCTTCTCCTGGAGGGAGGACGGAGAAGGCAGAATCAACCCAAGTGCTCAAAGAAGCAATGGAAAGGAAGTGGGAGGGTCAAAGGCTCTATCCCAACTTGAGAACATTCTGCGGACTTGAGATATTTGCCAAGTTTGCCCTTCAGGCTGTCAAACTGGCCTCGTGGCTGATGTGAAGATTCTCGAGCGCAGGCTCTTCTCCAGGGTGGAGGTACTCTATAAGTTCAGTTAGCGCACCGACCACCCCAAGGATCGGGACTGCTTTTAGAATGCTCCTCGCCAGCTATAGGCTTGAGCTGAGATGCTCTGAAAGCTTTTGGGAGTCCTTCTAGGCCATAACTAAATCTCTGCTCAGTCTTTGATGGAGAGAGACATCCGAGTGGCAGACTTCCTAGAAAAGGCTGTGGGAAGCTCACCCTACTCTCTCTCCTTCATGCTCCGTAACCCTAACCATCCCCAGGGCCTCTCTACTTCACCTCAGAGTTCTCTCAAACCCGCCAGTTTCTCCCCGTCTCTGTGCTTCTATTCTGAAACACTGACTTCTACCACCTGGACTTCAACAGTCATCTCCAAACTCTCCTCCTTGTTTCCATTCCTGTCTCTCTCCACCTTACGCTCGACACTGCTCCAGAATGGAAATGTTTCATTTCCCTCTTTGTTTCTCAATGGCTTAAGGATAATAACTGCAATGAAGACAATAATGGTAAAATAGCCAATATTTCTGGAGCACTTAGCCATGCAGCGGGCTCAGCACTTTATCTGCAACATTGTCCCTGAACTGTGACCGACCCTTTGAAGCAGGCAGCAGCATCGCCTTCATTTTACAGATTAAAGCATGAGGTACTGTAGGAAAAAGACTTTCCCCTCTCGAGACAAAACAGTAGGCCAGGGATGTAGCTCAGTGGCACTGCGTCTGCCTGGCAAGCACAAGGTCCTGAGTTCAATGCCCGAACTCTGACTGGAAAATCCCTGGCAGTTAAAACTGTCTAACATTCTGACAATTCTAGAAGGTCCCTAAGCAAATGGGACCTTAGGGGAGAAATAAACAAGTAAGAAAGCCTTTGTTGAAAACTGTAGGTGTCTAGGAAAGGGAGAATTGAATAGAATGGCCCATTTTCACAATAAGATAATGAGGGGAAACAGAAACAGTAATCGCAAAGTTGCATGAAATCTCTAATCGGGAATATCTGCTTCCCAAAAAATCCCAGAGTAAAGAATAGGCAGTGCTATGAAGAAATCTGAACTCAAATTGGAAAGAGGTCCAAGTAACTGTCATATAGAGAGAAAAGGAAGACTCTGGCAGCATCTAGAGAGACTGTGTTCCTCCTTGTATTCAGCCGGTGAGGAACTGGAGGAAGGGACCTCCGTGAGAGGGGACAAACTGCTCAGTGTAACCACTCTGAGTGCCTGCTCAGCAGACACCGGCCTTGGCAGACTGAATTAAAGCCTTGCTTTTGCTGCTTTTCATGTGTGTTTCTCAAAGGCACCAAGAGATGCAGTCACTTGCCCAGGGGAGGAACTGGGTCTTGGAGGAACCCTCTGAGGCCCTCCCCTTCCTTCTGGCCCAGGAAGCCCTGCTGCCTGGTCCCACTCCTTTCAAGCTAGCTGCCACCTTCTCCCTCTCCCCTCCTCTACTGGAGTCTCACCATGTGGGAATCTCTCTTGACCCCAGGGCGAGGAAGACCCCTTTCGCACATTTTCAAGGTGTCTGCTGCCTGTCATACTGTCCTTGTGCGGGCACCTCAGGAGGACCAACCCAGCTTCACCAGGTGTTATACCCTGAGCGGCACCTGGGATAAAGGAAATACTCAGGAAATATCCTGGCCACCTAAAAAATAAAGTCTTGAGTGAGAGGAAGATTCCTAGATTCTAGTTCAAAGGCCATCCTTATTACCAGTGCGATTTTCTGCAATCTCCTCCTCTTTGAACTTCTGGGGTCTTGCTGTAACCATCTGGTAAAAATCAAAGCAATCACAACAAAGCACTTTAGACTTCTCCAAGCTCTTTTACAAAAATCCCACTTGACCCCAGAACAACCCTGAAGCCTGCCCTTGACTGAAAAGCAACCAGAGGTAGGCGGCAACTGACTCATTCCGGGTGTGATAAAGCTCTGAAAACCAGCAAAGTGCTCATCGGCAAGTGACAGTCGTGCCACTTGCTCTATCTCAGTCCCTCTGACTATATCTGCTTGCCTGTTGTGCAGAGAGAGATAAGAGCAGTGAAGAACAGGCCAGCCAAGCCTGTGGGACCCCGTTGGCGTGGTGACCAGTTTCCTTACCAGCCCACACAGCTAGAGGGCGACAGCTCAGTGAACCATAGCCAACCCATCCCTACCACTGGTCCTGCATGGGGCGGGGGAGAGGAGAACTTGCCCCTGGTGTTGGTGTTTGTTTCTCCAAAACGGTAAAGAATTAGGTGATGTTCTTCACAAATGCACAGCACTTGGGTTACCTTGGGAGGCCACAGTGGCCTCTTATCCACGCCCACTGCCACCCTGCCTTCCTCCAGGATCTCAGCCGGGACCAGCAGACGGCAATTTTGAGTGCAGAGACGTTTCCTTAAGCACTTAGACTCTTAAATTTAATCTCTGTGGATGTGTGACTCTATTTTATGCAGTTGTCAAAGTGACTTCTCTGGATCAGGAGTTTACATGATGGTTTTATGAGGGGAAAGCCTCTAATACCATGTTATTCTTATAATATTAAAAGGTTTAAAAGTAAGCCCTTTCATAGCATCCCTGCAAGCAAAAACGGGAACAAAACTTCCTCAAAGTACAAAATCACTCCTTGAACACCATTGTCTACCTGTAATTATTTACCTCATCCGCCGGGAGAAACTATTCTAACAGTGAAACTATTTTCTAAAATAAAAGCCCTAAAGATGTGGCTTTCTGGGTGACTGAATTTTATAAGACATTGTAAAGTTAACATAAAAACCAAAGTAGATGAGCTACAGGTTCAATTTTTTTGTGAACTGATATAAAAAACTGAATAGCCTAATAAAAATGGTAATTTTAAGTGAGACTTCACCATTAGAAAGAACTCTGTTTTATTAAAGAAGTTAATTTTCAGTGTATAAATCAAAATCAGCAAAATTCTTAGCTTACACCCAATATTCTAACATAATCTTCAAGTTATGCCAGCATAGAGTTTTCAAAAGGTACCGTGCACATTTTGTTTAAATGAAACAAAATAGGAAGTTCTCTTATACCGAGTTTTTCAGAAATGTAAAGTACAAAATTGATCAAATTCATGTTTGATTTAAAGTGAAAAGTGACAAGCGTTTCTGGAGCAGTAATTAGTATTTTACCTTCTGGACACTGGCAGGTGAATCCACTGAGACTAGAAATGCAGGTGGCTCCATTTCGGCACGGGTCCAGGACACAGTAGTCAATCTTGGACTGGCAAAGTTCTCCGGTGTAACCTGCGTAGAACGACATGCACACGTTATAAGATGTGTTTTTCTAAAACCACCGCAAGCCAACCCACAGATTGGTGGACTCCGCGGTGCCCACCCAAGGAAGTAACAGCCTGGAGCTCGTCTTCCAGCTACTCTTTAAGCTCGTTTACCTTTCTAACTAGGAACAATCACAGCATTTTGGAAGCATCTGAGAAATCATTTACTTTGCCTGAGTCTTTATTGCAAAGGTTACCTTCAGAACCTTCAGAACTGAGACTAGAGGCCCAGTCTGTCCCAGTGGACAGCTTCTTTCTAACATAAAATTTCATACTCTGCCTGGCTAAGTGAGGTAACACCCACTTTCTCTAGGCCACCACAACACCTACAGAAAAAACTTTAGGAAGATGTCTGATATTAAAGTTTTTAATTTATAGTATTTGTTAGCTACAAGAGCCTATCCATGTTAATGCTGAGTCCCAACCTCTTACCTTAAAGATAAAGAGATTGAGGCACAGATAATGCTAAGCACATTAATACATTATTCTTAATACTTATTTGAGTCATAAATCTAACTCTAAGTTCCCTGTGAAGCCAGCCCTCATGGTGGCTTTGTTGAATCATAACATAATCACCACTCATATGGTAAGAAAGCAAGGATATAAATCTACTGAAACACCTGGGAAGTTCACAAAGATTTAAACAATTGTTAGTTTTTTTTTATCAGTTTTGGAAAAACAACGGCTCTCTAGAGAGACGAGTTTAAAGGACAACATCCCATTCGGCTGGCTACTCTTCCTAAAGTGGGCAATGATTATGAAAGAAAATTTGGAAAAAGAACAAAACATAAAAAGAGAGGAAAGGGGGGGTGACTTATGTTATGTGAGTGGCAGGGCCATTGATACTCTGCAGATAATTCCCATTGTAGATGTTTGTGCACGGTTATTTCAACAGGATTTTAATCACGCCGCAACATTTCCCATATCTCCAGGATGCTTTTAACTATGCGGAAACTTGCATTTCTGAATCGTTAGTTTGGAGAGACTGTCATTACTTCTTGCGTCTGAGCTTTGCAAAAACAAATCAATGATATCAAACAAAGGGATTTTCCCGAGTTTCAGTTACCTCCCTAATGAGGACAAATTACAGACTGCATGGATGTGGGGCCACTTGTTTGTGAACTTTCTCTTCCACATGTACGTCAGGAGTCTAGAGATTCTAGCTCACTCAAGGGTCTAAGAAGATGCATTAAAATAAGCCTGAACTGTTAAAAGTTCCAAAACCAGGACAGAAGGCTATTTCAAAGCTCCAGAACAGAACAGTTCAACATGTTAGTAATGTACGGAGCATATATTTTCAAGTGAAAGCTCAAACTCAAAGTGTAGGGGAATGAATTGTTTTTAAGGGGAGTGAGACAAATAAGATTTGTCTAAAAGTAGTGGCTAACGTTTACAATAGAGCACTTATTTCCACATGAATTCATAGTCCTCCCCGCAGCCCTGTGCAGTCAGTACTATTATAACCCACCCCCATTTTACAGATGGGAAAACTGCAAATTGAGAAGTTTAAGTGATGTGCTGGGCCCGAGCCATTAAACAGCTGTTATGGCTAATGCAATACATACCACCACCAGCAACCACAATGCAGTTAATCTGAAGGAGATAGCAGAAAATAATGGGAAGGAAGGAAGCATGCATATAGACACAGAGAGAGATAAAAAGTAAAATCATAAATATCACCCATAACTCAGAGCCCATGTGTGGTTTGCTAGGGCAGACTGTGCCAAGAATTACTTTTTTTTTTTTTTTGGTACCAGGGATCTAACTCAGGACCTTGCACTTGTGAGGCAGGTGGCGGAACCACTGAGCTAAATCCCCAGCCCCAAGAATTACTTTTTAATGTCTCTTCCTTCAAAGGTTCAATAATATGACTAGAAAAGTACATTTATGAAAAAGATAGCTTTTTATAAGTGGTGGCCTCTTACAGGCAGTGTGGCTGAATGAGTGTAGATGCTGTCATGAATCTTGTCTCTGGAAAGACCTTAGAATGGTGGCCTTGCAATCACACAAAACCAGGAGTCAACTACATATCAGTCCAAAAGGTTTAGCCCTACCAGACAGAATGAACAGGGGAACAATGAAGGATTCTGTGAACTTCAAAGTTCTTATAAGAAAATTTAAACAACCACTGCTTTGGACATTTTGTATATGGGATTTTTAAAGGAGTGGGTTTTGTTGTTGTTGTTGTTGTTGTTTGTTGTTTATTGCAAAACTGGGGATTGAACCCAGGGCCTTCATACTGAGCTACACCCCCAGACCTTCTTTCTACATTTAATTTTGGAGATAAGACCATGCTAAGTCACTAACTTGGGTACGCTGAGCTAGGAATTGCCATCCTCCCAGCTCAACATCCTAGAATCGTGGGATTACAGGCATGTGCTACCATGCCTGGCTACCGGGGAATTTGAGGCAAACTTACTTAGAGACTAACAAGTAAAGCCCACATATCCATCACTTAGCCTCAACAATTATTAACACTTTTTGTTTAATCTCATCAAGACTCTTATCTTCCCCACTGGGGAATCTTAAATTTCTTTGCACCTGTGAATATTTCAATATGCACATCTAACAAAAGGAGACTTTTTAAAGATGACTTTAATTACCTCTTTAATTTATGTTCAGTCACATTTATAAACTTAAACCCTTTCAGCCATATTTATTAATATTAATAATTTCCTTTTAAGAACTATATTGATATTGCACAGATATTCCTGTACACTTAATTAACTCTCATAGGTCTAATAAATTAAACTTTTAAAGCCATCAAGGATTTTGAAAGTATGACAAACAAGGAACGATGGTTTAAAAAGACCACACGTCACTAGCGAGACCTGGATATATGAGTACATTGCTGTGTCTATGAAACAAAAACGGAAGAGCAGACACAATGAGGCGCAGGCAGGAGGCAGGCTGGGATGATGGGGTGATGGGGTGACGGGACCCCAGCGGCACTGGCATAACCAGCTGTGGGTCTGCAGAGCACTGCTGAGCACTTGACACCTGTCCACACTGGGCCCATCAGAGGGACCAGGCATTACCATCAGCCTCACGTGGGTTACTAACTGGAAGTCCTAAGAGCACAGATGTTCTACATCCTGCCATCTCAGGAAGAAGAGAGGAAAAGGGCACAGAGCCATGAGTATCTTGCAGAAGGAGTTAGGAGCTGGCAGTCACTGCTCCAAAGCCAGCAGAGCACCACTTCACAGAGGCCGCCAGACCAACCGTACATACGTGATTCTGAGTATCTCAGGCTCACCCAAGTCATCCCATCTGCACTTTGTGTTGTAGTCACAACTGCAGAGTTAACCTAAATGAGTGACGGGTAGAAACTTAAGTGTCAATGACTATGAGAGCTTGCTGGGTCTTTCTTCCATGCTACTCAAAGTTGGTCTCTTCTCGGAGGAATAAAGGAACCGCACGGGTTGTGAATAATGTTTTCTTTACCCCACGAAAGTGGTCACAGAGACACAGAGGGTCCTGTGGATGCTCAAGCAAGACTGACAGCGCCAGTGCCACAGCAGGGAAAGATACATGGTGGCCATTCATGTGCGTGAGGTGAGAATTTGCCCTAACACATGCCAGAGTGGGCATTTCAGCCTTTGAGTTCCCAAGGTCGACAAGGCATGGAGGAAAACCCTGTAAGGTATGGAATTATGCAGAAAAGGTGGGCATGGCATTTATACTTTCCTAAAATTCTACAATACTGACAGACTTTATTCTGGTTCTGAATTGTCAAACCCTGTCCCTTTCTATGGTACGTGATTATCTGAGGTCCTTTACCTCTAGCCAGGGAGATGGTTCCTCCCTTCAGCCAGACCGTCAGCACTACTGGGCCTCCTTCCCCGCTACTCCGACACCTGCATCACACCTTCTAGATTACCCTGCCCAACACATCACCGCCTCTTATGGGGACTCCAGCAATCTCTCCCAGTCCATCTCTCCACATGGGGACAGCCAGAGAGATATTTTAAAGATACAGTTTATATCCAATGACTCCTTTACATAAAACCCTTTAGTGGTTTCCCAAAGGGTCTTGGGGGAAAAAAAATCCAATCACTTCACTCAGTGGCTAAAAACTACAACAAGATGTGGCATGATTCGTCCCACACCTTTACCCACTCTCTCCAGGGAACACTGTCCTGTGGTCTCATTCTGCTCCTAAACACACCTACCCACTTTTTGCAGTCTTTAGTATCCTTTTCATACTGTGGCTTCGTTACCAAAGGTGTGAGAAGGATGCAGGATTCAGCAAGAGTAGTTACAAGCCTTCCCTGCAACCTTGGATTACGACAGGAACTTAAAGTTTTCGTGTAAAACAGAAATGATGAAATAGTGTTTTTTAATCTCGGGGGGAAGTAGAGAAAGGGAGGGTTAGTATACAGCACTAGGATTTCATCAGGAAACAAATGTAGGAGAGATCAAAAGCGAACTGCATAATGAAGCAGAAGATCCAAAGGAGGTGCATTGAAGTTATCTCTAAAATCAGGAAGGGGAAGTGAAAAGGTCTTAAGAAAGTTAAATTTAAAAAGCAGTGGAAAATCCAGATGAGCAAGGAAGGCAGTCAGCTTCAACATTAGTGAGGGCCACAAATAAAATTTTAAAGTTATTTTAAAATGTGCTATCAAAGGTCACTTCTGTGCCACCCTGGCCTGCACCTCCACTTTGGACACTGCAATGAACATCAGCCGAGCTTAAAGTACTCCTCACCCAGCTAGATGACGCTGGCCCCTCTCAAGCCCACCCCCACTCTTCCAGCTCCAGCCCGACGTGCCCACCATTTCTCTGCAGCGTGGCACTTCGACGAGGCAGAAGCAGGACTGTTTCTCTCCTATGAAAGCTCCTATCCAGGTTGGATTCTTCAAGTCAGCGACTCTCAGCCGAGGCGCTCACAGCTCCAAGCTCCCAGGCAGTGGTGGAGACGCTGCTTGCGGTCATTCCCCCAGGGGTGCTACTGGCATCTAGTGGGGC